CTCGGTCTGGCGCTGCAGCAGGGCTCCCATCCGGTTGCGGACGATGCAGCGGTAGAAGCCGGCGTGTGTGCGGTCCAGCGACGTGATCATGTACCTGCAGGAGAGAGGAGCCACCTCAGTGATGGGGGGGGACATCCCAGTGACTGTCACAGCCCCAAGGAGAGGCTGCAGGTCCCACACAAGCCCCTCAATTACTGCTGGGCAGTATCTCCAGTGCCAAGTGCCAGCTCCTTCCCCAAGGAGCAGCTGCTGGAGGCGTGTGCGTGTACATCCGTGTCCGTGCAGGTATGTACACATGTACACACACGCGTGTGCACGCTGGGGAGACAACACAGTGTCCCTTGTTGATGTAGAGGGACTCGTGGCTACACACACAGGAGATGCTTTCACCACATCACACACACACACAGCATGAGCCGGTGGCCATCACCAACACAGTGCTGGGGTGGACGGTGACTCAGCACCGTGAGCGGGAGGCAACGGGCGAGTGGCTTTGAGCTGTCACAAGTAGAGGTGGATGCTGGGGAGCTGCCACCCGCTGTCCTGACCCCTGCACTGAGCCCAGGTGACACGCAGCAGAGACACGCCGGGGTTTGCCGGTGTCACTCTGCCTTGGCCCCGCGTGCAGCCGAGCCCAGCACCGCTCTGATTAGCCGGGGCTGAGCTGCCTTATCATCCCAAGCGCCAGAAGCTGATAAAGGAAATAACCACGTCTGGATTCACCCACCACCCCCAAGCCGGACCCCACTGCTACACCAGAGCTCCCCGAGCAGCCCCCACCCCAGCAGGGATGCAGACACTCCAGCTCCATCACCCCCCAAACCAGGCTGGACCCCCCAACACCAGCCTGGCTGATGGGGAATGCTCAGGGGGGAGGATGGGCATCGCCTCCCCCGATGGGGAGTGCTCCGAGATAAAGCAGAAAAGGAATAAATAAGCAAACAAAACCTTCCTCACCCAAAATCTAATCTTACATTAAAACACGCCACGGGCTGTTTCAGCAAAGCTTCGTTTGTTCTTCTGATAACCGAGCGTAAATTAAACTTTCATAAGACATGAGGAGCACGTCGTCCCCTCTGCCGGGAAGCACGACAAGCCCCTGTGCCCATCCTCCCCAGTGTGGGAGATGGTGTTGGGGACACGGGGCTCCTGCCTCACCCGGT